ACGGCGCCGTCGTCCAATCAGCAATGTCTCATATTTCCCACTGGTACCTACCTTTTCCAGTAGGTTAATGTAATTGTGTTTTCCTTAATGTAGTTGCACTTTTAGATTTGTAGTTGCAGTTTGCACTTCAGGGCCACCGTACTATTCACTGGAGGCATCCATGTTTGTCAAAGAACACTACTGCCACCTACTGGTTTGTGACATTGTCACGGTGCGGTATCGGCCGTTGATCAAGTCCCAGTGCTGTATCTGGTGTTTGTCACAACGCGCTATTATCCAAGTCATCTTGAAAACATTCTTCTTCCAAATGTTGGCTACATATTACGGGTTTTTTCTCTGGCCAGAAGTTCGATGGCAAATCCTCCCTCTTCAAGTTGGCGATCCAACGACCAACCCGTCCGTGGAGGATCGCGAATCAGAAAGGTGGAATAACTCTTTTTTTCACTTTTACCCGATGTATTCCAGCATCCAGCTGCCATGCACGTGGGCATTGTCAGTTTCACTATAGCTCTGGTGAATTTCAATGGTGAAGTCCTCTGGAAATCTTCAATAATTGTTGTTGATTGCAGATGTGTCTAGTAGTTCCCATTGATTTAGCTTGTAAAGCGGGGAGAATGGCGCTAGGCTTACCGCACCGTGACGTCACTGCTGGAAGATGGCAGGAGGGAGGGGTTACTATATCTGGGCAAAAATGGCCGCTCCCAGACTCAGTGATCGCAAATTAACGCTATATTCATTAAATCACTGCGAACGTATCCGTTTTACGTATAAATAATGATCCATTGATTATTCCTCGCTGACCAAAGTTTTCCTTTAACATAATATCCGATTTAAAAAAATCCACAAATATGCAGATAAATAAGATAAATTAGACACTACAGCATGACGTTATAAGACTGTGCTCCTGCTGCTTCTTAATTGCCTCTTTAGGGATAATAAAGTAATTTGAATTAACAAGAGTTTTTCTAATTACTGTTGCCTGCATCAGCTAGCAGGTCACAAAAATAAACATTTCAGGAATGGTTTGAGGAAACTTCCTTCAGATTTTGATCAACACACTTCTGCTTCCTGTGGCCGTGATGCTATGCTTCATTTTAACTAAAAGATTCACATGTAGAATAGACTTTAAAATGCTTTCTTTGGTCTAAAGTCAGAAGCAAAGCACTGAACAATGGAGGACGAAGCTGTTTGACCAGTTTATTGGTAACAAGTTAGTTTCCTTTTATCATGAAAAGAAGACGAGGGGGAAAAAATGCATCTGATTTTTGCACCAGTTCAAGTCTAGTTGGATGTACGGCAAATGTTTTCCTTTCTGCTATAATTCAGCAACAAAACACATTCATGAGACTTAAAACTTAGCTCGGGTAAACACACAATAAGGTATACAGGCTGATGGCAACCAATCACATGGTTCAAGTAAGATGAAAGGAAAAAGGTAAAGTACTGTAGCTTTAAATTTCAGAAAAACAAACAAAAATGGTGAAATGTAGTGTCTGTAATGAGAATGGATGATAGTTTGAACCTTGAAAAAAACAAAACAAGGCTTCGTTTTTGGTCCACTCTATAAAACCTGAGGGGATTGCCTTTGAGTCGATGCAATCAGCTGGTTTTCCTTAGATAGAAAACTTTGAATCAATCTGACTGGATGATCTGGTGAACTGGATAGTGACCTGAGAAGATATGATGTGAATTGGTGCTATAGAAATAAACTGAATTGAATTAGCAAAATCTGTTCTTTGCTTGTAACACTGATGGAACAAAAGTCACTCCATATAACAGCAGATGTTTAAGTAGTCTGGATCCCCCCCCAATGCATGTGGGTTTAATGAGCTGAAAGTCAAAGTAAAAGGCTGTGGCTACAACCTGGCTTACCACCGTCATTGGTGGAATGAATGGGTGAAAGACTGATTCCAATTAATATCAAAAACTTTGGTCAAGTGAATTTAAAAGTGCTTTAAAAGTCCAAACCATTTGGCAATTTATCATAGCTGGATCAGATGAATGAATTGTGATGTTTGTTACTCCCTGGGTTTTATTGGCTTTTTTATTGTCCTACATAAGCTTGATATCTGTCGTTTTAATTTGTATTTCTAAACAAAGCAGAGCCTGGCCCTTTGGCTATCCATTTAACCAGCAATACTGTCCTATGTGTCCTTATATGGACGTAGCTAGGCTGGTGCATATTTCCAGTAGGCATCGCTGGAGTGGCGGGTTAATCAGAGGGCAACAGGAAAAGTAACCATGGACACACACTTTCACTGCATTTAAGGGTAATTTAGAGGCCCAGTGACTGGACAGATATTTGCTGGACTGTGTGGGGAAGCTGGAGTACCCAGAAAGAACCCATGCATGCACTAGGAGAACATCCAAGATGCAGAAGGAGCCCAGGACCAGCTACCAACTACAGCCATGGGGTTAAGCACAGCGGCTCAGTTTCTAATGTCGCTGTCTTGTAAACTATCAGCATCAGAAAGTGAATCTCTATGTGCAAAATTCAAAAAGAAATGTAGTACTGTGTTTTAAAGTGAATTTCACTAAATTCAAACTGGATTTAAAAATGTGAATCATAATTCATTTTATTTAAAGCTGTATTTCATTGCATTGAAAATTTATTTTTGACTAATTTAACCTTCAGATCTAGAATTCAATTCAAAATCCCAAATTCACAGTTTTTTTATTGGCACAGACCTGGGCGAAAAACCAGACACAGGTCAGCTAACTGTAACAGCTATGCTACACGCTGCTCTTATACAGCAGTAAAAATAGTTCACTGCTGTATAAGATGACCCTTTGTAAAGCAAGAGCAGCATATTTCTCCTCATTAATAGAGGAAAATAAGAATAATCCTAGATTTCTTTTTAATACAGTTGCCAAACTCACCCAGAGCCATAGCTCTGTTGAACCGTCCATTCCACCTGCTCTTAGCAGCAATGATTTTATGGGATTCTTTATAAATAAGATTGATCTTATTAAAAATAGGATCAATAGCGCTCCTCTGTCCGCGATTGTATCTGAGGTAGTCATGGCATCTGAACCGGGTTTAGACTGCTTTGATCCAGTTGAACTTTCTGAGTTAGCAAAATTATTGTCTTCATCTAAGCCGTCAACGTGTATGTTAGATCCAGTTCCAACCAGGTTATTTAAGGAGGTATTCCCTTTGATCTCCTCCTCCGTTTTAGATGTGATTAATCTATCTCTGTTACAGGGATATGTACCAAAGGCTTTTAAAGTTACTGGAATTAAACCTCTGCTTAAGAAACCGTCTCTTGACCCAGATGACTTGGTCAATTATGGACCTATATCCAATCTTCCTGTATTATCTAAAATTCTTGAGAAAGTAGTTGCCAAACAAGTTTGCGATCACTTACACCATAATTAACTTTTCAGTTTCAGTCTGGCAGGGAGTCAGACACAGCACTGCTGATGCAGAGCGCTATGATCACTCCTCTGGAACTTTATAATAATGCCTAAATTAACTTAAAATGTAGAAACCTGTCAGCAAAATATGTTTGATTTTATTATCCTGGTGCCTGCAGTTTGGATTATGTACCTGAAAAACGCTAACATCTAATTCCAGCCGCCACGAACAGTAGGGGAAAACCCCCAAGAGGCGAGCGGGCCTGAGGCAGCTGCTGCTGGGGATTCCCAGTGACAGCGCAGCGCCGGTATGTGGGGGTCTGAGCGGCTCTCACAGAGAAATAATCTTTGAAGGCAGGATGGTAATCTGGATGAACTGACTGCACAGACCATGTTTTCAGGAGGACTTTCTCACTTCAACATAGATTCTCACAGCTAATATAGCTGCCATTGTTCCAGGGAAATAAAGGATAGGGTAGCTCCGCCCAACGCGCATCAGATCCACTTTTCGACTGCACAGCGAGAGAAGAACAGCCGTGCATCAGAACTAAACTGGTACGAGCATCAAAAATGAAGCAGCACGCAATGTGAACGTAGCACCAGTGTTTACCTACCAGCTTTGTCTTTCCATTGTCTTAATAAAGCAAACCTAGCAAAAAGAAGCTAAAAGGGCCCTAACCCTATTTATTCCCTCAGAAATGACAGAAGGTTAAGAATCAATTAATTGAAATGGTTATTGATTTTTGATTAAAGCAACTAAACAGTCGACTGTTTTTATTCACCTCTAGGATTTTCATTATGAATTGGGTTGAACACATCCCAACTGCAGATGACTGGAGGAACGCTGTTGCCTTGCAGCAGGAAGGTAGCCTCGTGAGACCATCCTGATCTCGCAAGCTTTCAAGGTTTCACTCGCTAATCAGTCTTGAGACTCTCCGTTAAAGAAAATTTGCAGCCGTTCACCAAACGAACGTCCAATCAGCGTTGGCTTTGAGGCGGGTTGAGGTGTGACGCAACGAGAAGCGCGACAGTTCAGTCTAAAGAACATGGCGGCTTCAGCCGATGAAACTAGCGTTAGCGTGGCTATCGAGCAAGTTTTATCGGAATTAAAGAGTATTTCTTCACTGAAAGAAGAGCAAAACACTGCTCTGGAGGCTTTTCTCAGAGGAAAAGATGTTTTTGCTCTTCTCCCGACTGGTTTCGGCAAGAGTAGCCTGGCTGTTAGTACGTCATGTGCTTTGTTGATCTCATTGGTTTATTTGGCCCGTCTATCACCAACATAGGCCAATCAGCTAACCAGTATTTTCGCCCCTTCCCAAAATTACTTCAATGGATATGGATATGCGGAGCAAATCCATCTGGCGGAGTCAGGTTAGCAGGAAGGTGCTTTCTGCATGGAATTTGCATGTTCTACCTCTGCATGGCTGGGTTCTCTCCGGGTACTCCGGCTTCTTCTCACAGTCTAGGAACACAAATGTTTGTTTCATATGCTTCTCTAAATGTTGTGTGTCTTTATTTGTCTCTGTGTTGCCCTGTGACAGACTGGCGACCTATCCAGGGTGAAGCCCCGCCTCTAGCACATGGAGTGCTGGAGGTAGGGACCATCGTGACCCTGACGGAATAAACAAGAGAGAAAAAGGGATGGATGGATGGACATTTTAATTAAGGCCTAATTTAAATGCTAATTTGTCCTCATTTCAAAACGTTTAATTTAAACTTTGGTTCTCAAACATAAATCCATGTGAAACCGTAAAAATCGTTATATCATTTGATTAATTTTGTTTTTTAACCATAATCTCCTTTTTGTAAATAATAGCTTAATTTAGTTGAGTTTCTTTACTACAGTTAAGGGTTTTTAACTGAAATATGTTTGACTTGGAGTTGAATGATTTTGATTTCAAAAATCTTTTTTAAAGGAAGTAGTTGTGAATTTACTCCACGTGTGAGCAGAGTTGTCTGTTTGACCGAGATGTGAGCAGGAACCACACTTTCAAACCGCCAGTGGGGCATTTGTTCACAGAGGAAAGCATCGTTTGAAAGTAATTTCATTAAATAACATATAGTTACAGCAGTATTTCATTGATTAACACAAACCTGACCTCTGCCACCGGTGTTTTTGTCAAATAAACAGTGTGTTATATATCGGTGAATTACATTGGTGGAATGGGTGATATTCAATTTTAAAGCCAATATGGGCTTATATGATAGCATGCAGATAAATGTATGCCTTCATGAGAAAAATACTTCTCAAAATGGGTCATTTATTTAATGCATTTCTGCATCCTCCTTCCTTTAATTAAACTGGTCGCCCCATATTCATGTTTTTTTGTTTTTATGTTGTGCTTTTTTCAGCTGCCTGGCATCAATTTTACTGCATAAACGGTTTCAATCCCTAAACTTTCAGCGGCTGTGTCAGTCCATATATGGGTATGTCACGATTTATCAGTTTGATTAAGCTGAAGCAACTTTACAGTTTTTTATCAGACGTTGCTGCATGTTTTATGTCCTTATGCGTTCTGTGCATGAGACAGAGTTGGTCCTTAGTGGGTCTGTTGCCTTTCAGCTGCTGGATGCTGCTGGAGCAGAAGCATGCAGGTTGTTTTCCTCAGCTGAAAATCAAAGGCTATCATGGCAGCATCTCCATCAGTTCTCTCTCTGGATTCTGTGCCTCTTGCGGGCTAATCGAGCCTCCCGCATCTCCTCCAGCGTTTTCCGGGGGTCCATGATGAATGCCAGGGCCACGGTGGCGGTGCCGTCCCCGTTCTGCCGTGAGAAACATAGAAAGGAGGCCCAGAGGAAGGCGCAGCAGCCCATGAAGGCTGTCCGCATGTGCAGCGGCATCAGGGCGAAGTTCAGAAACTGGAGGGAAACAGAGAAGAAAAAATTCTACATACATACATACATACATACATATATAAGGAAAGAAAAGCTGTCTATAAGGGTACAGGTTTATTATCTGAGAGTTATATTTCTATAGTTTTAATGTTAATTGGTTGATATAAACAGACAGATATAGTATTACTAGTAAAGTAAGTAGTAGTATTTGTAGTATTTTAATAAAAGTATTGATACTCACAGTCAAATCTTACTCAACTACAAGTAAAAGTTACCCTGTGAAACATCTACTCATGTTAAAGTATTGAAGTATTTTTGGAAAACACTTAAGTATTCAGAAGTACAAATTCAGTTTGCTAATATCAGTATATTTCTGTCAGATTTTTAGAGTAATTCCGAAGAGCCTGTAACTTTCAGAAACCTCCTGATGTATTGATGCTGCCTTGTTTTTTTTATGATGCCACCCGCCAGGAGGAGCAGCCGTTGTCACGGCAACAGCTTATGGGCATCATCATAAACAAACAAGCAAACAAACTAGTGCCTTATGTCTTATTTAATATGTTTAACAAATTATTTAAATGGAATAAATTAACAACAAAAGAAATAATTAATAATTACCTGCATGAAAGGCCAGTACATGAGTCCAGTCTGAAAACACATAAATTGTGAATATTCCTTTAAATTAAGAAATCTTGCAAAAATTCAAAGACATATATCACTACATGTATATACAAATGTGTAGAAAGAAGTTCTGGGCGAGGGGGAGGAGTAGCAACAATCTTCCAGTCTGACTTATTGATTACTCCGAAGGCAGTTAATACTTACAACTCTTTTGAACATTTAACCCTTAATTTCCCTGATCCATATTTCAAAAAGCAAGAAAACCTCTTCTTTTTGTAAATTTGTATCGTCCACCATGTCCTTACTCTGAATTTTTAGATGATTTCTGTAAAAATTCAAAAAATATCCACTGGACTTGGTTTTCAAGATTTGAAGACGTTTCACCACCTCTCCAGGAAGCTTTCTCAATTCAAATGTCTGGATCCGCAGTGAGTTTGAGTCTTAGGCCCCGTCCACACGAAGACGAACCCTGGCCTAAACGCACAAATTTTTCACCAAACCAGCCTCTCATCCACACGAAGCCGGCGTTTCGGGGGTCTGTAAACGATCTTTTTTTTATTCAGCCTTCAGAGTGGGAAGATTTGGAAACGCTGTTTTCGCGTTTCCATCTTTACGCTCTAACCGCATATTTTTTTTTACACGCATGCGTCATAGCGTCGCCTCTACACACGCATGCGCGACCAGTATCACAACAACAATGGCGCCGTTGCTGCTAATGCTACTCACCCTGCTGTCGGGCTTACAACAGAATCTTCTTCTTCTGGAATATCTCCAGGAAGAACAGAGCAATATCGACGACATAGTTCAGCACCTGAATTTGACTTAACCACGAAAATGGACCCGCAGGGCAACTATGTATAAATATTAGTGCGCATGCCCAACATTTCGTCGCTTATTTTTGCTTTGGCACCACAGCGCCACTTACAGGCCTGGCATACATTTTGCAGCGTTTTCATGCATTCGTGTGGACGCTCACATTTATTTTACGTCTCCGTCTTTACGGCAAACGTTTTGGAAAAAATCAGCGTTTCGTGTTCGTTTTGACTTCGTGTGGACGGGGCCTTATATGGACAAGGCCTTATATTGCTTGGAAACATGCAAATGGTAACCGATGAATGGGTCGTTTAGTTCCATTGTTAGCCTCTAATATCTGAACCTGTCTATGATCTAGGGGTCGGTCGTTAAAGGGGGGATTGCCATTAAGGGGGGGGTTGTCTCCTGTAATACCTGAAACCTGTCTATGATTGTTAAGGGTCGGTCGTTAAGGAGGTATTGTTCACCGGCTGGAGCGGGTAGGTCCCTCGTTCCTCTGTGATGGGGTGGGGGGGTTTGGTGATATCTGGAAGGGATCATGTCTATGATTGAATTGTATATTTTTCGAAGCTGGAATCTGAGTCCACCACCTCTGTTTAAAGTTGTTTTTTTTATGACCTGGATGACTGAGAACCTTCATAAACAAATTTTTAGATGAGTTTTCAGAGTTCCTTTCTGATTTGGTATTAAATAGTGACAGGGTCATCATAGTGGGAGATTTTAACATCCATGCTGACATTGAAGGCGATAGCTTAAGAGCAGCCTTTAATGCTATCTTAGACACTATTGGCTTTGTTCAAAATGTGAATAGTCCCACACATTCTCATCTTCATACTTTGGATCTTGTGCTGACATACGGTAACCGGACTCTGTCAGATGGATTTGCTCCGCATATCCATCTGGAAACCTTCCATTGAAGTAATTTTGGGAAGGGGCGAAAATACTAGTTAGCTGATTGGCCTATGTTGGTGATAGACGGGCCAAATAAACCAATCAGATCAACAAAGCATATGACGTACTAACAGAGCGACGACAAAAACACAACCACAAGCCAGGCTAGTCTTGCTGCTGCAGGTAAAGGCTCGTTAGCTCAACAAATAAGCAACATGTCGGCAAAGGATATTATATTTCAGTAAAGAAATACTCTGTAATTCCAATAAAACTTGCTCCATAGCCACGCTAACGCTAGTTTCATCGGCTGAACTGTCGCGCTTCTCGTTGCATCACACCTCAACCCGCCTCAAAGCCAACACTGATTGGACGTTCGTTTGGTGCACGGCTCCAAATTTTCTTTAACAGAGAGTAGCCAGACTGATCAGCGAGTGAAACCTTGAAAGCTTGCGAGATCAGGATGGTCTCACGAGGCTAGCATATGGCATAGAATGTGAAGAAATAACAGTATTTCCTCACAACCCTGTCCTCTCTGACCACTTTCTAATAACCTTCAGGATTACTTTAACAGAGTTCTCCTCCCCCAAAAGTAGGTTACATTTTAGTAGATCTTTATCAGATAGTGCAGTTATACATTTTAAAGAATCTGCTTCACTTTCTCTCTCCTCTGTGTCGCTGAGCAGTGCTGCAGAGTGCAAAAGCATAGCTTATTCCCCTTCACAGGTTGATGATTTTGTTGATGGGGTTGCTAGTTCTATGCGTATTGCCTTAGACAACGCAGCTCCTTTGAAAATGAAAACCCTTAAAAATAGAAAGCTTGCTCCTTGGTTTAATGCAGAGCTGCGCACTTGGAAGCAAAATGCTATGAAACTGGAGAGAAAATATCGCTCCACAGTCCTTCCTAGTCTGGAAAAATAGTTTACTGCTGTATAAGAGGACCCTTTGTAAAACAAGAGCAGCATATTTCTCCTCATTAATAGAGGAGGATAAGAATAATCCTAGATTTCTTTTTAATACAGTTGCCAAACTCACCCAGAGCCATAGCTCTGTTGAACCGTCCATTCCACCTGCTCTTAGAAGTAATGATTTTATGGGATTCTTTATAAATAAGATTGATCTTATTAAAAATAGGATCAATAGCACTCCTCTATCCGCTATTATATCTGAGGTAATCATGGAATCTGAGCCGGGTTTAGACTGCTTTGATCCAGTTGAACTTTCTGAGTTAGCAAAATTATTGTCTTCATCTAAGCCTTCAACTTGTATGTTAGATCCAGTTCCAACCAGGTTATTTAAGGAGGTATTCCCTTTGATCTCCTCCTCCATTTTAGATGTGATTAATCTATCTCTGTTACAGGGATATGTACCTAAGGCTTTTAAGGTTGCTGGAATTAAACCTCTGCTTAAGAAACCGTCTCTTGACCCAGATGACTTGGTCAATTATAGACCTATATCCAATCTTCCTTTCTTATCTAAAATTCTTGAGAAAGTAGTTGCCAAACAAGTTTGCGATCACTTCCACCATAATGAACATTTTGAAGAGTTTCAGTCTGGCGTTAGAGCTCATCATAGCACTGAAACAGCTCTGGTGAAAGTCACTAATGATATTCTCATGGCCTCAGATCTTATCTATCTGATCGAATTCAGTTTGTTCATGTTAATGATAGATCTTCAACATGCTCAAAGGTTACCTGTGGAGTACCACAGGGATCAGTGCTAGGACCAATTCTCTTTACTTTATACATGCTCCCAATTGGTAGAATTATTAGACAGCATGGGATTAATTTCCACTGTTATGCTGATGATACCCAGCTATATCTGTCTATAATCCAGATGAAGCTAACCCATTACATAGATTACAGGCATGTCTGAAGACATAAAAACATGGTTGACTCTTAACTTTCTGCTTCTGAATGCAGACAAAACAGAAATTATAGTCTTTGGACCAGAGTCTCTGAAAAAGAAGCTGATTAGTCAGTCACTTCATTTGGATGGGATTAAACTGATTTCTGATAATAAAGTAAAAAATCTTGGTGTTATTTTTAATCAGGACCTGTCATGTTTGAATTGGCTCTATAGAAATAAACTGAATTAAAATCTTAAATGATTCTATTTGCTTGTAAATCACTGAACTGTCTTGCCTCTGAGCTTCTACATTAGGGTGACCAGAAGTCCCCGATTTCCGGGGACTGTCCCCGTTTTGGACCACCTGTCCCCGGCTAAAGCTGTCCCCGGAAATGTCCCCGATTTTACAGAGGCGAAAAATGTTGCGTGTAGACTGTTATTACGGTAGAGCTGTTGCGCGCAAAAATAGGTATTACGGTAGCTGGTTGCGCTGCTGATAACATAAAGATAAGGAACAGAGCGCACCACTAGAAGGGCGGTAATGATCCTTTTGGATGTCAGCTGCCATTAAAACACAAAGAAGAAGAAGAGCGCATCACTTTTAAAACAGAAGAAGAAAAAGAAGTGGAAGTTCGTTTTTTACAACCTGTGGCAACTGATGGGGAGCTACGCTGAGTCATGGTAAGTGTGTTAATCAATTAATTTTATTCTGATCGGGCTGATCTTGTGATAAATGTTTGGTTTGTGTCCAGGTTAAAACAATAATAAAAAGTAAGACAAGACCACGAGTTGAGCATGAGTAAAAGACGCTGGGTTAAAATGTAGCAAAATGATTGAAAACTCCTTGTAAGGCGCTAATCTGGTACGCTGGTTCTCCAGGGATCAACAAGGGTTTGTATAAAGATGATTTAGAATGGATAGGTGACCTTTAGTTTATATTTCAGATAGTTATTATAAGTAGAGTTATTTCAATTTGTTTTGATGATTTATGGTTGTGATTTATGAGCATAGACTTCCAGTTTTTGGTGTGCTTTTTTACTGCTCAGTTTGGATATATATGTCAATAACAGGAGAACTGAATAAGACAAGATCTACATGATCTGAGAATGATGGAGGAAGAGATAACCACCTGTTTAATGTTCATTTATTATGTGGTTTTTGCTTATAGCTCCTAATATTGTGGTAATTAGCATTTTTAGTATTTAGATGAGATATTAATAATAATAAGTTTTCATGTTGCACATCCAAATTTTTTTGGAGGTGATTTTGATTATATAATGTCTCTGTTTTAGAATAATGTAAGATTGATGCTGGAGGAGTGAGGAAGAAGATAGAAAGACAGAAAGGAGATTGAATGAGAGAGGAGGAAACTAGGAACTCTGATAGAAAAAACGGTTGACAAGAAGGGAGAAAAATTTACTTTGAGGAGTAAAGCAGAGAGCAGGAAACATAAGAGGAAGCCTTAATGCACAATACAG